TTTCATTTCAATTGTATACTAACATATGCATTGAAGTTTTCTTGTTTAACAATAAATTTATCAAATTCAACCAATCATTGACTAGCAGATTTAGTATACGGAATATCACCTTCATCAAATCTATAGAGAGAACTTACCTCTACTACCTGTGTCCGGGTATTAAGACCATGAATTTCTTCAATAGGTGGTAAATTCTTAACATCTTTAGTTTTAGTACATTTTTCTTTCATAGATTTCTTTGCCTCTTGCATATCTTCAGGACTGAGAAATAGAATACCTCTCTTCTTCGGAGTTGTCTTAGGCGGTGGTTCGGGAAGAGCCCAATCATTATCATTAATCAATATATTATTTAATAGTTCTTCAGCTTGTTCAACAGTTCGTTCCCTGAAAATACAACCAACACAACTACCTAGGTGGTCCCTAGAAGCATCAGTTAGTCCATTATAAAAGATATCAAGTATTTCATTTTTCTTGAGAGGATGATCAGACAAAGCATTAAGTAATTGGAGAATCCTCCCCCAAGCTTGTGGGAGACTCTCTCCTTCAATTTGCACAAAGTTAAATATTTCCTGTAAAGCAGCTTGTTTTCGATGAGCAGGAAAATATTTTTCAGAGAAGTAATATATCATATCCTGGGGACTAAGCACACAACCAGGAGCAAGAGAATTAACCATATCTTAGCATCACCCTTTAATGAGAAAGGAAACAACTTAAGAATATAGTAGTAGCGGGTTTTTTCCTCATGAGCAAATAGGGTGGCTATATCATTCAGTTCAGTAAGATGTGCCACAAAAGTTTCATTTTCATAACCACTGAATGGATCGGATTCAGCCAAAATAATTAACTTAGGATCAACAGAGAATTCATAATCCTCATCGGTAACAAATATAGTTGAAGTAGCAAACTTAGGATCATATTTCATTCTAGTATTCAAAGATTTTTCTTTCAACTTGACAAGTAATTCCTTAAGATCATCTCTATACTTACAAGCAAGAAAGTCTCTAGCTACCTCTCCATCCATAACATAACCCTCAGGTATATCAGGCAATTCATCTCTAGGAGAGCTAGATCTAATAGGTGTTTCAAAGTTTTTAGTTTCAAAGACATCATCAGTTTCAGTATTCTCAATAATTCTAGCTCTAGCAAGTTGAAGAAATTCACCTAGTGGCACATCATCATCAAGCAAAGTACTAGCATCATCATAAGCATCATTCATAGCCGAAGTAGCATCATCAATTACTTGCGACATATCAGGATTAATAGCAGGTGCAAGTGTCACAAGCTTACTCAAAACAAAAGGTGAATCAAGTGCAGAACTAGATGGCAGTTCCTTACCTCCCCTTGTCTTAGAGGGAAAATCTTGGTTCTGGTATCTTTAAGATTCCTCATAGTGGTCAACAGATGTAAATCCCAAGTGACTCAGCAAATAGAGCTATGCTTCCCGACAACGACGCCAGGAAAAGGTCTTGATAACCCACAAGTATAGGGGATCGCAACAGTTTTCGACGGTAGAGTATTCAACCCAAATTTATTGATTCGACACAAGGGGAGCTAAAGAATATTCGCAAGTATTAGCAGTTGAGTTGTCAATTCAACCACACCTGAAAGACTTAATATCTGTAGCAAAGTATTTAGTAGCAAAGTAGTATGATAGTAACGGCAACAGTGGCAATAGTAACAGTAGCAGTTTCGTAGTGATTGTAATAGCAGTAGCAACGAAAGTAACTTAGCAAAGATAAATATGTAAAAAGCTTGTACGCATTGGATCAGCGATGGATAATTGTGTTGGATAATATTCATCATGTAACAGTCATAACCTAGAGCGACACAGAACTAGCTTCAATTCATCAATGTAATGTAGGCATGTATTCCGTATATAGTCAGATGTGCTTAGGGAAAAGAACTTGCATGACATCTTTTGTCCTACCCTTCCATGGCAGCGGGGTCCATTAGGAAATTAAGGGATATTAAGGCCTCAAACTACAGTAATCACCAGAAAGAATCTCAATTATTGCTATGTTGGGGCATGCGGATCATAACTCGTAATATGTGTGTATAACTTGCAAGATAGAACCAAGAACACAAATATATTCATGAAAACATAATAGGTTCAGATCTAAAATCATGGCACTCGGGCCCTAGTGACAAGCATTAAGCATAGCAAAGTCATAGCAACATCAATCTCAGAACATAGTGTATACTAGGAATCAAGCCCTAACAAAACTAACTCGATTACATGATAAATCTCATCCAATCCATCAACGTCCAGCAAGCCTACGGAGGAATTACTCACTCCCGACGGTGAGCATCATGAAATTGGTGATGGAGGAAGGTTGATGATGACGACGACATCGATTTCCACCCTCCGGAGCCCCGAACGGACTCCAGATCAGCCCTCCCGATGAAGAACAGGAGATGGCGGCGGCTTTGTATCATAAAACGCGATGAATCATTTTCTCTGATTTTTTTTCTCTGTGAATAGGTATATATGGAGTTGGAGTTAGGGTTGTCGAAGGTCCAGGGGGCCATAAGCCTGGGAGGCACGCCCTGGGGGGTAGGCGCACCCCCAGAGCTTGTGGCTCCTGGGTGGGCCCTCCTTTGGTATATTTTTCCACCAATATTTTTATATATTCCATAAAAATTCTTCATAAATTTTCAGGTCAATTCGAGAATTTTGATTTCTGCACAAAAACAACACCATAGCAATTCTGCTGAAATAGCGTCAGTTCGGGTTAGTTTCTTTCAAATCATGCAAATTAGAGTCCAAAATAAGGGCAAAAGAGTTTGGAAAATTAGATACAATGGAGATGTATCATTGAACTCAACTGAAATATACTAGATAAAACTATTAGTCCAACAAAAGATATGTTGACATTAATCACCTAGGGAGCTGCCCTTTTAGAAAGATCTAGACATGTTAGCGGTGGCGATGGTAGTTGCAAGATTACTTAAGGACTCCTTTGTACTTTTCTTTTCTTGGAGAGTTTTCCTGCAAAGTTCTGTGGACACGAGTTGTTTTTCGACCCTTCTGGTCGCTTCCGCGTGTATGCTTGTATTCATCTTATTTGTGATTAATGATATATGCAGTTAACTTCAAAAAAAAAGAAACGTTACTTCCTTGCTAACCTCAGTTATTAACTTATAATGTTCTTTTTTGCAAAAAATAACTTATAATGCTTGTTAGTGTCAATGAATAAATGAACTAAAAGATGATAGGCTATGCTCATACTATTTGGTAGGTTTTCCTTTTAGCTGGCGCAAATCATTTGGACCCTCATAGCTCGCGAATGTTTGCTGGGGAGGATAATATTCGCAACGATTTTCATGGCAATTTTAGTTTGTGGGGTTCATAATTTCTTCAGACTAGCATGCCTTCGCAGAGAAGGCAATTCTTTTTAAATGCCATAATTTGACCTCGATCAGACAATTTTCTTTAAATGCCATAATTTGGTCTCGATCAGACGCGTGCGAGGGCGTTCACGGGGAGTTCCTTCCCAGTGAAGGATTCACCAGTTAACATTACCAGATCATTTTGAAATTGAGAATTTTAAATTTGTGTTATATAATTTTGATTGCTTTACTGAAAAAGGCTTCCACCCCGCTTTATATATAAAGCAACGATCAACATACAGGAAGCACACCACCCTACACCCCACACACACTCAAGACAGATATAAGGGAGCTAACAAACAACAACGCTACTCCAAACAACCCAAAGCAAACAACAAGTAGACGGAAGAGTATAGCTAAGGATCTAAAGAGCTCTCCATCGTGAACGAGCCACCACAACGAGACAAAGCCGCAACTCGATGAATCAGGGACTCCAAAGCGGTGCTTCCAGGAAAGAAACGGCACCAAAGAGCCGCCACTGCCTGATCCAAGAAATTGAGTTTTCACTCGGAGTAACACGAAAGACGCAGGGCCACCGCAATAGAGCCTTCAAGAAGGGAACAACACATGGACGCCACTGCCATCAGTCTTGCCCGAGCCAGACGAGGTTTTCACCCCGGCCACCCGCACGGGAGTACAGCCCTACATGAGAGCGTCGGCCGCACCACCACCACCTGATTGCCGTATACTGTAAGAGCCAATTCAATAATACATACATGATATCCGGTACAACAGAAAGTCATAGCAATGCATTTCCAGCACAAATTGAGTTTCTTTTCTGATGTACTTTTGTCCTATAGATCTTTACATTTTGCATATTACGCATCTCACCCTATAGTAGCATCACATTTAAAAAAAAAACATCTACATCTTGATCGGTATTGTTATCTACTCCCTCCATTCTTAAATATAAGTCTTTTTAGAGATTTTAATATAAACTACATATGGATGTATATAGACGTATTTTAGAGTGTAGATTTACTCATTCTGCTCTGTATTTAGTCTATATTGGAATCTCTAAAAAGATTTATTTTTATAAACGGGAGAGAGTAGTTATTATCTACAGAAATAGCATACATTACATGTATTTTTTTTCAAGCAGTGGTTACTTATATCACACTTAAATATCTTGAACTGTCACAGTTGTGACACTACGGATTATTAATGACAAATATTTAACAGTGAGGAGGACGCTGAGAGAACTGATCATGATGTTGTCCAGAGTCCTAATAAAATGTTTTTTTTGTTTAGAGAAACCACCTGCGTTATTCATGTGATGGACTGTTAATTTGTGACATTGTGTCACTGCGCTGTGATTTCGTGATTGTGTTGCTATCTGTCTATGGTTTGGAGAATTGATGTTGCAGTCACAAGAAAGACCAAACGAAGCTATAAGCGGCAGCAAAGCGAAAACGTAGCAGCAGATGAGCTGAAGCACGTCCTGGAAAAACTTATCAAGATTTAAGTAATTACATTATACAAAACGCCACCGCATCATTTGTACTTCTGTCCTCCCACACTGTCAGCCATCGTAAACTGTAAGAGAACATATACACCTGGATTCTCAAAATCAGCAAAAACCGTAGCTACAAAAAAAAATCACATCAAACTCAAGATGCAGCTTGGGCTGCACCAAATTTCTTGGCACCCTTCTGCAGATTCTTTTTTGGATCTTTCGTTTCAGAACTTTCCTCCTCTTGCTTCTTCATCACTGGTTTGAACTGTTCCAAAACAAAGGATAAGGTCACTAGAGAACTGGGCTAAAGCACATTCAGCAGCCACAAATGATGGTACAAGTGCTAGGCAGACCAAATACAGACATGTGAAAGCTGAATGAGATAGGAGCATTGCTTCTACAAAGAACAAAGGAGAAGAGCATGGACCAGAGTCAAAGGCAAGGGACGCAAAATTATTGACAGTGCAACAAATCCATCAGTTTACAAGCCTACAACCTTAATTCTCGCAGATGTCACGCCTGCACCACCGGTAACCGCAGCAATGACAGTGGCGAGGCGTACACTCGGAGATGCCAGTTTAGGATGATGAAGGGGTCCGGCACACGACGATGGAGGACCCATGTCCAGAGAGAGAAGGAGCTGGACTAACCCGCAAGATGTTGAGTTCAGTGAACCGGGTGTATGGACAAGTGAGGTCCACTTCTAAGCATGAGTGTGTCGCGTTAAAAGGCCAAGTGCCAATCTCTGTAAAAAATGTCGTTGAAATGAGACCTCCGAACTTCCCATCTCTCTTTCCCTGAACATTTCACCCCCTTCTCCAATTCCTACCCTCATGCCGCCAATTTACCCCGATTCTTCCCCTCCACCAGCAGTAGAGCTGGCGCCTCAACCATCGAGGAGGGTGACACCTACACTCCGGAGTAGTCGGCATACGGTTGCCGACGATGGTACTTTGGTCACACATGAGGACTCCTTGGCCAGGGCTATGCGGCGTAAAGCAACGCAAAACCTCGACAACCAAGGTATTACGTCGCCACCCAAATCCTTTTTAGCTTTTTCCAATACTAGCACCGTTTCTAAGTTGAATAATGTGGGTGTTAGTCTGGGAAAGAATGAGAATGATATTTCTATTTCAACAAGCGCTTTGAAACATTTGAATATGATCGATTAAAAGTTGTTCCACATATTTCTAGCAAGTCTTTTGCCTCCCCTACTGACAAGGAGGAGCTGCATGCCACATCGGAATTTTTTTTTTTGAAAAGGAGGCTCACCTCCGGCCTCTGCATATGAAAGATGCATATGGTCAGCTACCCTCTCATTTAGTAGGAGCGGTTTCAGATGTGGGTCTAGATGAACCCGGGCTTAGTTCTTTGATTGAGCTTACAGCCTCCGGACGTAAATCAAAGACCACAAGTTCAAAAAAAGTTAGTAAGTCCCATAAGAAGGCGGAATTTTCTAAATCTCCTATTGTTTCCCCATGAATGTAATGTTTTTTAATAGCAGAGGTCTTCGTGACGTGGCTAAACATTTATTCATTGCGGAGTGTAATAGGAAATACAATTTAGATTTTTTGGCTATCTCTGAAACGGGGAGACGTGACTTCTCCGTAAGTCTGCTTAACCGTCTTTCTGGTGGGATAGAATACACTTGGGTTTCACGACCGCCTAGAGGTCGTTCTGGGGGCATCTTACTTGGCGTAAACACGGGGACAATGGATGTTTTGGCTAGTTCGGATGGTGAGTTTCACGTTAAACTCCATATTCGCAACAAGGCCGACAACTTCACATGGACCCTCGCCGCCGTGTATGGGGCAGCCCAGGATGAACTCAAGGCTGATTTTCTCCGTGAATTGGTTAATCTGGCGAAAGATAATCCCTACCCCATTCTTATAGGAGGGGATTTCCATTTGCTTCGATTTCCAAATGAGAAAAGCCGCGGTAGATTTGATAATCATTGGCCTTTCCTTTTCAACGATGTCATCGACAGTCTCGATCTGCGAGAGGTTTCCATGATTGGAAGACAATTCACTTGGCGAACAGTCTTCCGGGACCGGCATACGAGAAACTAGATCGCGTTTTAATGGATACCGACTGCGAATCTAAATTTCCTATGGTGTCTGTTCATGCTCTACCTCGTATCGAGGCCATATCAGACCACGCACCAATTCTCCTAACTACTGGTTTGCCACGACCACAACATAGACGCAAGTTCAAGTTCGGACTTGGTTGGTTGCTCCAGGATGGCTTCCATGACATGGTCAAGGAGGTATGGGAGAAACCGGTGGCCGGGCATACCCCAATACACAAATGAAATAACAAAATGCATGCATTACGTAAATTCCTTGGAGGTTGGGCTAGGCATACGGTGGGTATCCTCGAAAAGGAGAAGCTTCGTCTTTCATCTATCATTGATGAATTAGAAGCTTTGGCAGAGGTTAGGCCATTATCTGAGCATGAAATTGAGATCAAGAGTCAATTGAATGCACCGATAGCTAGCATGATGCGTGAAGAGGAACTCAAATGGTACCAACGCTCTAACTCTCAATTTATCCTGAAAGGTGATTCGAATACTAGATATTTCCATGGCGTCGCCAATAGACACCGGAAGAAACTTATTCATTCATTTCAACCGGAAGAAACTTATTCATTCACTTCAACAAGATGAGGGCACAATTGAAGGGCATGAGCAACTTAAATCTTATATCACTAATTATTATAAAAATTTGTCCGAAGCCCCAGAGGAAGGAAACTTCTCGATGGATGAGTCCCGAACAGATGACATCCCTCAGGTCTCTGATGAGGAAAACAACCTTCTAACAGCACCATACTCCGAGGAGGAAGTTAGAAAGGCGGTTTTCCTAATGAAGCACAACAAAGTCCCGGGTCCGGATGGTTTTCCCGCAGAGTTCTATCAGAACTTCTAGGAAGTCATCAAACCGGATCTCCTCCTCTTGTTTAGCTGTCTACATGCCGGCCAACTAGATTTGTTTTGCTTAAACTTCGGTGAGATTATTTTATTACGTAAGGTTAATGAGGCTGAAAGGATACAACAATATGACCTATTTGCCTCCTTAATGTTAGTTTTAAAATATTCACGAAGGTTGCAACTATTAGGCTGAATCCGGTTGCTGGACATGTGGTTCGTCCTTCACAGATAGCTTTTATGCAAGGTAGACACATCCTAGACGGAGTTGTTATCCTTCATGAAACTGTCCATGAATTACATAGGAAAATGTTAAATGGGGTCATACTTAAAATAGACTTTGAAAAAGCTTATGACGAAATCAGATGGCCCTTTCTTCAACAGACTCTCAGAATGAAAGGATTTTCTGCAGAGTGGCGCGCAATGATCCATAGCTTTGTTTCAGGAGGCGGTGTTGCCATTCAGGTCAATGATGACCTTGGCCACTATTTTCAAACGAAGAAGGGATTGCGACAAGGTGACTCGCTATCATCCATGCTATTCAACATAGCGGCGGATGTGCTAGCAGTCATGATTGAGCGTGCTAAGGCTGATGGACAAATTGATGGGGTAGTGAATCATCTAGTTGATGGTGGCCTCTCCATACTGCAGTATGCCGACGATACGATTCTCTTCATGGATCATGACCTCGAGAAAGCGAGAAATCTGAAATTAATTTTACCAGCATTCGAGCAACTCTTAGGTCTTAAGATCAATTTTCATAAAAGTGAATTGTTTTGCTTTGGCGAGGCCCAAGACGAGGCTCACCTGTACGCCGACCTGTTCGGATGCGGGTTGGGCCAGTTTCCGATCACATATTTGGGGATACCGATACATTATCGGAGACTCACAAATGTTGAATGGAAACACGTCGAGGAGAGGCTGCAAAAAGACTTGGCAGTTGGAAAGGTAAGTTGCTGTCTCTAGGAGGAAGATTAGTCCTAATAAATCCAGTACTAAATACTCCCTCCGTCCCAAAATAAGTGTCTCAACTTTGTACTAGTTCTAGTACAAATTTGTACCAAACTCAAGACACTTATTTTTGGGACGGAGGGAGTAATATGGTACTATATATGATCTCCTTCCAGTTGCTGAAAGGAGTTTTACATAGATCGGATTATTTCCGATCAAAATTCTTTTGGCAAGGAGATAGCGAGAAAAAGAAATATCGACTGGCTAAATGGAGTGTGGTTTGCCGTCCCAAAGACCAAGGCTGGTTGGGCATTCATGACCTTGAGGTTAAGAATAGGTCCCTACTCGGTAAATGGTTGTTTAAATTACTGATGGAAGATGGTGTATGGCAAACCCTCCTTAGACAGAAATATGTGGGCTCCAAGGCGGTATCCCAAGTATACTGGAAGCTTGGGGATTCTCACTTTTGGGCGGGTCTAATGGCTATGAAGAAATATTTCTTCTGCCATGGATCTTTCTCGATTAAGGATGGCTCGGAAATTAGATTTTGGGAGGATAAGTGGCTAGGAAATGCCACTCTCCAGGAACAATATCCAGCTCTATACAATATTGTGCGTCACAAGGGTGATACTAACGCCATGGTAATGGAATCATTTCCGCCAAATGTGACATTCAGAAGGGATTTATTTGGACCCAGACTACAATCGTGGAAAATCCTGCTTCAGCGGTTGTCCACGGTGCAATTGTCACATGGGTCCGATGTATTCTGATGGAACCTACATGGGAATGGACAGTTCTCAGTGGAGTCTACGTATAGAGCGTTAATACAATCTGATGTGCCAGTTGATAATAACAAGATCTGGAAGATGAAGATACCGCTTAAGAATAAAATCTTCGCATGGTATCTTCGTTGTGGAGTCATTCTTACTAAAGATAACCTTATTAAGAGGAATTGGCATGGAAGTCTGCAATGTGTCTTCTGTCACCATGACGAGACAATAAAACATTTATTCTTCCAATGCAAATTGGCTTGTTCTATATGGTCAGTCATCCAAATAGCTTCTGGCTTGTATCCTCCTTAGTATTGCTAATGTATTTGGCAACTGGCTACATGGGATTGATCACAGGTTTAGAACCCTTCTCAGGGTGGGAGTGCTTGCCGTTATTTGGTCGCTTTGGCTGTGTAGAAATGATAAGGTTTTTAACGACAAAAGTACATCTCTTATGCAGGTTATATACAGATGTACCGAAACTTCGTTTATAGTCCTCTCTACAACGTGTGGAGAATTGAGAACTGTTTATGGAGGTGTGTACACGATTGGAGGCTACGGCGAGGGATACTTTTACCCAACATGGGTGGCAGCATGATCTTAGGATTGGTCCCCCTCCGC